TATGAACTTGCTAAGATACCTACCAGGTGACAGTGGTCTGGCTGTGGTGTTGGAGGAGGCATAGGGTATTGTGCCCCGATATGAACTTGCTAAGATACCTACCAGGTGACAGTGGTCTGACTGTGGTGTTGGAGGAGGCATAGGGTATTGTGCCCCGATATGAACTTGCTAAGATACCTACCAGGTGACAGTGGTCTGGCTGTGGTATTGGAGGAGGCATAGGGTATTGTGCCCCGATATGAACTTGCTAAGATACCTACCAGGTGACAGTGCTCTGGCTGTGGTATTGGAGGAGGCATAGGGTATTGTGCCCCGATATGAACTTGCTAAGATACCTACCAGGTGACAGTGGTCTGGCTGTGGTGTTAGAGGAGGCATAGGGTATTGTGCCCCGATATGAACTTGCTAAGATACCTACCAGGTGACAGTGGTCTGGCTGTGGTGTTGGAGGAGGCATAGGGTATTGTGCCCCGATATGAACTTGCTAAGATACCTACCAGGTGACAGTGGTCTGGCTGTGGTGTTGGAGGAGGCATAGGGTATTGTGCCCCGATATGAACTTGCTAAGATACCTACCAGGTGACAGTGGTCTGGCTGTGGTGTTGGAGGAGGCATAGGGTATTGTGCCCCGATATGAACTTGCTAAGATACCTACCAGGTGACAGTGGTCTGGCTGTGGTGTTGGAGGAGGCATAGGGTATTGTGCATCAATATGAACTTGCTAAGATACCTACCAGGTGACAGTGGTCTGGCTGTGGTGTTGGAGGAGGCATAGGGTATTGTGCCCCGATATGAACTTGCTAAGATACCTACCAGGTGACAGTGGTCTGGCTGTGGTATTGGAGGAGGCATAGGGTATTGTCCCCCGATATGAACTTGCTAAGATACCTACCAGGTGACAGTGGTCTGGCTGTGGTATTGGAGGAGGCATAGGGTATTGTGTCCCGATATGAACTTGCTAAGATACCTACCAGGTGACAGTGGTCTGGCTGTGGTGTTGGAGGAGGCATAGGGTATTGTGCCCCGATATGAACTTGCTAAGATACCTACCAGGTGACAGTGGTCTGGCTGTGGTATTGGAGGAGGCATAGGGTATTGTGCATCAATATGAACTTGCTAAGATACCTACCAGGTGACAGTGGTCTGGCTGTGGTGTTGGAGGAGGCATAGGGTATTGTGCCCCGATATGAACTTGCTAAGATACCTACCAGGTGACAGTGGTCTGGCTGTGGTATTGGAGGAGGCATAGGGTATTGTGCCCCGATATGAACTTGCTAAGATACCTACCAGGTGACAGTGGTCTGGCTGTGGTATTGGAGGAGGCATAGGGTATTGTGCCCCGATATGAACTTGCTAAGATACCTACCAGGTGACAGTGGTCTGGCTGTGGTGTTGGAGGAGGCATAGGGTATTGTGCCCCGATATGAACTTGCTAAGATACCTACCAGGTGACAGTGGTCTGGCTGTGGTGTTGGAGGAGGCATAGGGTATTGTGCCCCGATATGAACTTGCTAAGATACCTACCAGGTGACAGTGGTCTGGCTGTGGTATTGGAGGAGGCATAGGGTATTGTGTCCCGATATGAACTTGCTAAGATACCTACCAGGTGACAGTGGTCTGGCTGTGGTATTGGAGGAGGCATAGGGTATTGTGCCCCGATATGAACTTGCTAAGATACCTACCAGGTGACAGTGGTCTGGCTGTGGTATTGGAGGAGGCATAGGGTATTGTGTCCCGATATGAACTTGCTAAGATACCTACCAGGTGACAGTGGTCTGGATGTGGTATTGGAGGAGGCATAGGGTATTGTGCCCCGATATGAACTTGCTAAGATACCTACCAGGTGACAGTGGTCTGGCTGTGGTATTGGAGGAGGCATAGGGTATTGTGCCCCGATATGAACTTGCTAAGATACCTACCAGGTGACAGTGGTCTGGCTGTGGTATTGGAGGAGGCATAGGGTATTGTGCCCCGATATGAACTTGCTAAGATACCTACCAGGTGACAGTGGTCTGGCTGTGGTGTTGGAGGAGGCATAGGGTATTGTGCCCCGATATGAACTTGCTAAGATACCTACCAGGTGACAGTGGTCTGGCTGTGGTGTTGGAGGAGGCATAGGGTATTGTGCCCCGATATGAACTTGCTAAGATACCTACCAGGTGACAGTGGTCTGGCTGTGGTATTGGAGGAGGCATAGGGTATTGTGCCCCGATATGAACTTGCTAAGATACCTACCAGGTGACAGTGCTCTGGCTATGGTATTGGAGGAGGCATAGGGTATTGTGCCCCGATATGAACTTGCTAAGATACCTACCAGGTGACAGTGGTCTGGCTGTGGTGTTAGAGGAGGCATAGGGTATTGTGCCCCGATATGAACTTGCTAAGATACCTACCAGGTGACAGTGGTCTGGCTGTGGTGTTAGAGGAGGCATAGGGTATTGTGCCCCGATATGAACTTGCTAAGATACCTACCAGGTGACAGTGGTCTGGCTGTGGTGTTGGAGGAGGCATAGGGTATTGTGCCCCGATATGAACTTGCTAAGATACCTACCAGGTGACAGTGGTCTGGCTGTGGTGTTGGAGGAGGCATAGGGTATTGTGCCCCGATATGAACTTGCTAAGATACCTACCAGGTGACAGTGGTCTGGCTGTGGTATTGGAGGAGGCATAGGGTATTGTGCTCCGATATGAACTTGCTAAGATACCTACCAGGTGACAGTGGTCTGGCTGTGGTATTGGAGGAGGCATAGGGTATTGTCCCCCGATATGAACTTGCTAAGATACCTACCAGGTGACAGTGGTCTGGCTGTGGTGTTGGAGGAGGCATAGGGTATTGTGCCCCGATATGAACTTGCTAAGATACCTACCAGGTGACAGTGGTCTGGCTGTGGTATTGGAGGAGGCATAGGGTATTGTGCCCCGATATGAACTTGCTAAGATACCTACCAGGTGACAGTGGTCTGGCTGTGGTGTTGGAGGAGGCATAAGGTATTGTGCCCCGATATGAACTTGCTAAGATACCTACCAGGTGACAGTGGTCTGGCTGTGGTGTTGGAGGAGGCATAGGGTATTGTGCCCCGATATGAACTTGCTAAGATACCTACCAGGTGACAGTGGTCTGGCTGTGGTATTGGAGGAGGCATAGGGTATTGTGCATCAATATGAACTTGCTAAGATACCTACCAGGTGACAGTGGTCTGGCTGTGGTGTTGGAGGAGGCATAGGGTATTGTGCCCCGATATGAACTTGCTAAGATACCTACCAGGTGACAGTGGTCTGGCTGTGGTATTGGAGGAGGCATAGGGTATTGTGCCCCGATATGAACTTGCTAAGATACCTACCAGGTGACAGTGGTCTGGCTGTGGTATTGGAGGAGGCATAGGGTATTGTCCCCCGATATGAACTTGCTAAGATACCTACCAGGTGACAGTGGTCTGGCTGTGGTGTTGGAGGAGGCATAGGGTATTGTGCCCCGATATGAACTTGCTAAGATACCTACCAGGTGACAGTGGTCTGGCTGTGGTATTGGAGGAGGCATAGGGTATTGTGCCCCGATATGAACTTGCTAAGATACCTACCAGGTGACAGTGGTCTGGCTGTGGTGTTGGAGGAGGCATAAGGTATTGTGCCCCGATATGAACTTGCTAAGATACCTACCAGGTGACAGTGGTCTGGCTGTGGTGTTGGAGGAGGCATAGGGTATTGTGCCCCGATATGAACTTGCTAAGATACCTACCAGGTGACAGTGGTCTGGCTGTGGTATTGGAGGAGGCATAGGGTATTGTGCATCAATATGAACTTGCTAAGATACCTACCAGGTGACAGTGGTCTGGCTGTGGTGTTGGAGGAGGCATAGGGTATTGTGCCCCGATATGAACTTGCTAAGATACCTACCAGGTGACAGTGGTCTGGCTGTGGTGTTGGAGGAGGCATAGGGTATTGTGCCCCGATATGAACTTGCTAAGATACCTACCAGGTGACAGTGGTCTGGCTGTGGTGTTGGAGGAGGCATAGGGTATTGTGCCCCGATATGAACTTGCTAAGATACCTACCAGGTGACAGTGGTCTGGCTGTGGTGTTGGAGGAGGCATAGGGTATTGTGCCCCGATATGAACTTGCTAAGATACCTACCAGGTGACAGTGGTCTGGCTGTGGTGTTGGAGGAGGCATAGGGTATTGTGCCCCGATATGAACTTGCTAAGATACCTACCAGGTGACAGTGGTCTGGCTGTGGTGTTGGAGGAGGCATAGGGTATTGTGCATCAATATGAACTTGCTAAGATACCTACCAGGTGACAGTGGTCTGGCTGTGGTGTTGGAGGAGGCATAGGGTATTGTGCCCCGATATGAACTTGCTAAGATACCTACCAGGTGACAGTGGTCTGGCTGTGGTGTTGGAGGAGGCATAGGGTATTGTGCCCCGATATGAACTTGCTAAGATACCTACCAGGTGACAGTGGTCTGGCTGTGGTGTTGGAGGAGGCATAGGGTATTGTGCCCCGATATGAACTTGCTAAGATACCTACCAGGTGACAGTGGTCTGGCTGTGGTGTTGGAGGAGGCATAGGGTATTGTGCCCCGATATGAACTTGCTAAGATACCTACCAGGTGACAGTGGTCTGGCTGTGGTGTTGGAGGAGGCATAGGGTATTGTGCCCCGATATGAACTTGCTAAGATACCTACCAGGTGACAGTGGTCTGGCTGTGGTATTGGAGGAGGCATAGGGTATTGTGCATCAATATGAACTTGCTAAGATACCTACCAGGTGACAGTGGTCTGGCTGTGGTGTTGGAGGAGGCATAGGGTATTGTGCCCCGATATGAACTTGCTAAGATACCTACCAGGTGACAGTGGTCTGGCTGTGGTATTGGAGGAGGCATAGGGTATTGTGCCCCGATATGAACTTGCTAAGATACCTACCAGGTGACAGTGGTCTGGCTGTGGTGTTGGAGGAGGCATAGGGTATTGTGCCCCGATATGAACTTGCTAAGATACCTACCAGGTGACAGTGGTCTGGCTGTGGTGTTTGAGGAGGCATAGGGTATTGGACTAGAAACTGTACGGGGACGGACTGTGTGACCAGACATATCATGCTGTTTGCTCATCTCGTTAAAGTGCCTGAAAACATGAAATAATTCAATTACATGTGGTGGAAAAATATCATCTCTGCAAGATGGTCCCTCCTTCAGACATTTGACCAAAACAATGTAAATCACTTGACTCAGGTAGACAGGAAGCAAACAATTCAAGTCAACAAGCGAATTGTCCATGTTTTGAGACAATGACACAATGAACACCATTTGTAAAGTCTCAGAAAGTGAGTGAAAGTTTTCTTCAGTCACATCAGCAATATTTTAGTTATATCATGGCAACTTGTAAATATTCATCTATGGGGCAGGTTGGTAGACTACATTACCAAATATCCTTGCCACTGACACACGATCAGTCAGGTCACTAATTGTAACCCCCAAATGCTCATGGGAGGACTCTTACAAACAGCATTAAGTAATGGGGACCTATTCTGCCCTGGAATTCAGACATGGCTGCTAAAGTGCCATCATGAGTGCCAATAGTAATATGCCATGAAAAAGCTATGTGAGAAACTTGAGCAAAATTACACTAGTGATGCCATCTGCAGTCAGTTTTTCAGTTCTGTGGCTGAACCTGATCTTACCTCTCGTCATCCATCTCAAGACTGGACTCGCTCTCAGACAGATGGCGGCAGAGACTCTCCCTCCTCTCCATCTCCAGCTGAAGACGGCGCTGCAGTCGCAGGTTCTCCTCCCGGATGTGCCGCTCCTCCTGGGCGTATTGAGCCATCTTCTCCTCATCTGGAACACACAGCGCCTCAGTATCACAAGGAGAGACACAGTGCCTCTGTATCAGAAGGAGAGACACAGCACCTCTGCATCACAAGGGGAGACACAAAACCTCAGTCTCACAAGGAGAGACACAAAACCTCAGTATTACAAGGCGAGACACAACGCCTTAGTATCACAAGGAGAGACACCATCGTAGTGTTACAAGGAGCGACACCATCGTAGTGTTACAAGGAGACACACATGCACAAATCTAATCTAGCTAAAGTAATCCCAAGGTCATCAGAAGGTAATATCAGCACTTGAATAGTTGGTGAAGATGGGCATTGCAACAAAACTTTACAGTATTTTCATGTTAAGGACAGACATGGGCTATGTAACCATGGTAACAATGAAGCAGCTAGAACACTGTTTGCATATACCTGTAAAACACAGAAGCATAGGAACAAATATCATAATGAGGAACCTAAAGACATTTCCACTGTAATGACATCACTTCAAGTCTAATGAATTCACTTCCGTTTTAATGACTTTGTCCCCCATTTGCAACTAATCGCTTGATTATTTCTGGTTGAAAACATGGACATAAGCTCTCACAAACCTGTCCTACAACACAACACTGGTGCAGTTCACAAAGAAGCAGAACTACCTTAAGAACGACCAATCCAATGACCTTGGCCTTTAAAATTTTATCACTTCAATGCCCTACAACAAGGATGCGATGTACCAAATGTCATCCTACAACAGGAAACCAGGAAACACTTCTTGAGTTAATTTAAACACAAATACCGGTACATTTTTTAAGTGTACAATCTTGAGAGTGAATTTGAGCTCCATTATCAGTGGCAAGTACTTCAAGAACATTCCAAAGGACTATCCAGCCTTCATTCCAAATACGATGTCCCTTGGTGGAATCCAATGTTACAACGAAAATATAGCATACGCCCTACAGCATTATCAGTGAAAGTAGATCATTGACCTACCATCACTTGTCATACATAGTTATTCAAATAAAAGAACTACATTCATATGATCTAAAACATATCTGAAGAAAAAGGCATTTAAGTGAAAATGGCAAACATACTTTACAAATAGCCTTCCCTATGACCTTGACCTCATATATAGGTCACACAAAAACCATCTTGGGCCCACCTAAAGGGAGATATATACCAAGATTCTTTGACAAACAGTAGTTCCTTCTTGAATTTGACAAACTTCAAGCTATGACCATAAGGATGACCTTGAATCTTGACTTGACATTTCAACGTGATACAAAAATGTCCAAGAGTTCTAAAGAAAAAGATATGATATCCTTGATATGTCCAAGCACTGGACAAGCATTTACATGGTGTTGCATAAAAAGCTGCCAACAAATTTTGAAGTTTGGTCGGCTGCTGTGAATGCATGTTCTGATAAGGAGGATCTGTCTGTCCCTGTGTGTACTCACGTTCTGACAAGGAGGATCTGCCTGTCCCTGTGTGTACTCACGTTCTGACAAGGAGGATCTGTCTGTCCCTGTGTGTACTCACATTCTGACAAGGAGAATCTGTCTGTCCCTGTGTGTACTCACATTCTGACAAGGAGGATCTGTCTGTCCCTGTGTGTACTCACGTTCTGACAAGGAGAATCTGTCTGTCCCTGTGTGTACTCACATTCTGACAAGGAGGATCTGTCTGTCCCCGTGTGTACTCACATTCTGACAAGGAGGATCTGTCTGTCCCTGTGTGTACTCACGTTCTGACAAGGAGGATCTGTCTGTCCCTGTGTGTACTCACATTCTGACAAGGAGAATCTGTCTGTCCCTGTGTGTACTCACATTCTGACAAGGAGGATCTGTCTGTCCCTGTGTGTACTCACATTCTGACAAGGAGGATCTGTCTGTCCCTGTGTGTACTCACATTCTGACAAGGAGGATCTGTCTGTCCCTGTGTGTACTCACATTCTGACAAGGAGGATCTGTCTGTCCCTGTGTGTACTCACATTCTGACAAGGAGGATCTGTCTGTCCCTGTGTGTACTCACATTCTGACAAGGAGGATCTGTCTGTCCCTGAGTGTACTCATGTTCTGACAAGGAGGATCTGTCTGTCCACGTGTGTACTCACGTTCTGACAAGGAGGATCTGTCTGTCCCTAAGTGTACTCACGTTCTGACAAGGCTTGTCGGAGCTGGTTCTTTAATCTGTTGGTCTCCCCGCGGAGATTCTCAATGTGCTGCATCAGGTTATGTGCTGTGTCACCGTTGTTCATATCACGCGGCGACGGTGGCGCTGATACGGGCTGGTCCAACTTCTCCTGCAGTAACCTGCATCACATACACAATGCTGCTTATTCCTTTAAACTTATGAAAACTTCATGACATGAAATATTTGTTATTCATTTTCTGAACAGTCACTTCATATTTATAACGGTACAATACACATACTATGATATTCTGAACATCATGATAATCGAACAGATAACTTTTCTAAAATTGTTCATTTAAATCTTACATTAACACTGTAGTAAATGAACTTATAAAACTGATGAAAAGGTTCACAAAAGACCTTAAACTAATAATGGTAAGGCAGGGCACCACCCAAAATTAGCCAAGTTAACACAAGACACAACAATAAACCTATAGTGGTCACACAAGACACATCTTTATCTTAACCAAGTTAATACAACTGAAAGTAAGCCATGTTAACACAGGACACAATAGTAAACCTACAATGGCCACACAGGACACAACTACAAGTTAGCCATGTTAACACAAGACACAACAATAAACCTATAGTGGTCACACAAGACACAACTACAAGTTAGCCATGTTAACACAAGACACAACAATAAACCTATAGTGGTCACACAAGACACAACTACAAGTTAGCCATGTTAACACAAGACACAACAATAAACCTATAGTTGTCACACAAGACACAACTACAAGTTAGCCATGTTAACACAAGACACAACAATAAACCTATAGTAGTCACACAAGACACAACTACAAGTTAGCCATGTTAACACAAGACACAACAATAAACCTATAGTTGTCACACAAGACACAACTACAAGTTAGCCATGTTAACACAAGACACAATAGTAAACCTACAATGGCCACACAGGACACAACCAAAGGTTAGCCATGTTAACACAGGACACAACAGTAAACCTACAATGGCCACAGAAGACAAAATCAAAAGTTAGCCACGATAACACACGATACAAAAGTAAACCTACAATGGCCACAGAAGACAAAATCAAAAGTTAGCCACGATAACACAAGACACAATAGTAAACCTACAATGGCCACAGAAGACAAAATCAAAAGTTAGCCACGATAACACACGATACAAAAGTAAACCTACAATGGACACACTGGACACAACCAAAAGTTAGTCACGATAACACAAGACACAATAGTAAACCTACAAAGGCCACACAGGACACAATTACAAGTTAGCCAAGTTAACACAAGACACAACAGTAAACTGATCATGGTCACACAAGTCACAACTAACCGCTTCTCGGCCTCCAGTTTATCCATCTTCTTCCACAGCCGATTGACCAATGACTCCTGTTCCTGCTCAAGAGCATTCTCCAACTCCACCTTCTCCCGGCGCAACTACAACAGGGAGAAATCATAATGATACAACAAGGGACAATATTATACATACAGTCTGTTTGGACACACCACCTTGAGCTACTGACCAGTTCTAGTGTTTGCTGTTTGGACACAACACCTTGAGCTACTGACCAGTTCTAGTGTCTGCTGTCTGGACAACACTTTGGGCTACTGACCTGTTCTCGTGTCTGCTGTCTTGACATCACCTTGAGCCTCATACTGACCTGTTCTAGTGTCTGCTGTCTGGACATCACCTTGGACTACTGACCAGTTCTCGTGTCTGCTGTCTGGACAACACCTTGAGCTACTGACCTGTTCTAGTGTCTGCTGTTTGGACACTGTGTCTGCCTCCAGTTTCTCTATCTTCCTCATCAGCTTGTTGATCTGGTATTCCTGTTCCTTCTCCAATGTCTGTTCCAACTCTATCTTCTCCTGCCTCAACTGCAACAACAACAACAACTAACTAAACCGACAGCAGATGTTAAAACAAGGCTTCAACTGCATCAACATCAATGCACTACACCAACAGCAAGGGTTACAACAAGGGGCAAGTCCCTGTCACTGACTGGTAGCATCTCTTAGAGGTCAATACCAACAGCTTTTGTACACGTCACTACTTTCTGGAAACCCTTATTTGCTGGTATAATCTGACAAAATCTGTGAAACTGTATGACAACATCCAACATTTATGGAGGTAAAGTCCTCAATACATTTATTAGTAGTGGGACGATACAGCGATGCATTTGGGTGATCATAATTTTTCAATTCTCGGTACAAGTATCTATCATAATTGCACACTAAGTAAAAAGTATTGATTCTTACCTTAAATGTATTCTTTAATAAATGTTACAAACACTAATTTCTTGTGAAAATGAGTGAAATTGTAAATAGTTTTATCCATTGCGCCATACTTGACAGATGACACTGCCAACTGTAAATCGTTAATGTGCCAGGTTTTGGGCCATCTATGAAAAAGATTGCTTACATCATGTACATGCCACAGATAAGAGCACATGCAAGTACCGTGATACATATGGGATCGTGAGCAAGGTATTGTGATACATATGGGATCGTGAGCAAGGTATCGTGATACGTATCAGACCGCACATTTGGGTGTATCATCACAGCCCTGGTATTCATACAATTGGGTAAGTCAGTGAAGTGAATGTTGTTTTATGTCAGGGATACACCAGCTATATCATAGCAGCCGGTAAATAATTGTGTCTGGACCAGTACGTCATTCCACCAAGCAATCTTAGTGCTAAGACGATCCTAACTCCCAAACTCCAAGAATTACAAAGGTCATGGCACCAAGATCGCTGTGAAGATCAGGGCCTTGTTCCACAAAGCGATCTTAGTGCTAAGTTGGTCGTAACTCTACTTTATCATAGGCTTACAATCAATATAGCACTAAGATCGCTTTGTGGAAGGGGGCCCAGTCCCTGGGACCTGACAATCCAGTGGAGTCAGGGACATGCAATCAACCAAGTCAACAACCATGACCGCCTTATCTATACAGTTGCCTCCCAACACAGACAAGCACCGGTTAACTTCTCTAAGAGGCATTTAGAAGTTGGAGTGCTAAGTAAGTGTATACGTGGATGAACATCACTTGATTGATAATGGTGTTAGAACCTACATTGATACGTTTCTCCTAATTGTAATATAGAAGTTGTTCATCCATATATCTTATACTTACTAATAATAGGTTACTTGGCAGCAGTCCTACCCTGGGATCCCCACAGGGTTAGCAGGGATAGAAACTAACTGTTTCAGTCCACTAGTCCTTATAATGATAACAAATAGCAAAACCCTTAAAAGGGGCTAATTTCTACTAGTCCTTATGATACCTTAACTATTGGGCAGTTTGGCAAGGACTACAGGACTAGTGCCAATTTCTAACGCTGGGGTAGTGGCAGATGACAGGCCCAAACTGTTCAGATAGGACTTACAACAAATAAGTCACTGGACTTATTACAAAATATCGAACCAAGTTACGTCTGGGTTTTTTTCGTGAGTCAGTGACTGTTCATCATGTTCATGAACGAGAATGATGAATGACCACAGACTTGTTCATGAAGTATTTCTGCTGAGTGGTGCTGAGCGGCGTCACACAACAAACAAACACTGACTTATTCATGTTATCTACACAGATTGTGTAAGTGGCTGGTAGAACAGGACATACCCTATACACAAACACCGGTCATCATCACTGATTTTCAGTGATCCATTCATATAATTTTCACCCCTATTTTGGCATTTTATGCCCACTGGAAACCACTTTGGCAGATAATCACTACTAGTTGTTCTTTAGCTTTGGCATGTCATATTTAGGTCATATTCACTTCAAATTCTTGACAAAAGTTTGCTTGCTTGATTCAAGTTTCATAATCAATTCAACCGTTATGGACAAAACGATAACAAATAAATACAAATGATAATCATTACCTGATTAAATATAATGCATTTCCTGGATAAATCCCACAGCAATTATCCTGTTGTCTTGTTGCAAACAATACATAAACAATATCAATTTCATGTGATCATAAATAATTTACTAGTTTCAGTCTGTATTCCCCTTGTGTTAGTGTAGGATGTCAGACCAGGTGCTGTGCACATGTGGTTTTACTCTCGTCATGAGTGACATCCCTCTGGGTTGTTTTAATCATACACTGAGACAGATTAAGTAGAGGATCAGGGTACCATTGGGACAATGATCTCTTTCAATACTCTCATTTTAGAATTAATTTACAAATTTAACGTTGAAGAGCAAGAACTATGAGACCAGTTCAGCGAAAATGGCAATGTGTAAAGAAAGGCAAATTGAAATGGCTTTATAGTTTTTGTAATTTTACAAAAACCAACCAGGATCTTTAAAAAACAAAGCAATTTAACAAAGAAATAACACTTTTTGTCGATATTTGTTTTGCAAACTTAAAAAAAGTTCTTACTTGAAAGTTAAACACACTCTCAAGTCGAACTGAGCAGTATTTCAGACAGTTTACTGTCATTCCCATGACTCTTGGTGCCAGGCAATGCAAGAACTATGGTCAGCCCCTCCTATAGTGAAATGTGTTTCTAAACTCATGGCTGTAGAAATTGGACAGCACCATAACTGGTTACCATAGTTACACCTGGATCAGATATATATTTAAATGCGAGTTTTCATTTCTGAATTAAATTGGAGGTTTTGTTATTAAAACCATATTAACATTAGCATGAAATGTACATAATTCCCCTGCTATATGTGCATACAGAGCCAACGGGTGACACACAATGCAAAATCTGTCTCCCCAGTGTATAAATCGCCAAGAGTAGATAGAAATGTCACTTTTTCTAAATTCCATCAAGAAATCCCAATAAAACACAATATCACTTTAGGAGAGCATTTTTTTTAGATATTCTCTATTTAAGTTTTATATTTTATATCAAAACATTTCCAGGACATATAGTGCCTATGTCATAGGTGAAAGGTATATCAACAATTAACAACTATTACAACTATTACATTACTGAATTTCTGATCTTTGATGATGGTAAATATTTTTTCAAATCAAAATTAGAATTGGCCATTATTTTTATGCTAACTTAAAATGGTTAATTCAAATCAATGAAACAAATGTGAGATGTGAATTCCTTGATATTTGTCTAAAAAGCATAATTTTGAAAGTATTTTATTTAACATTATTGACAACAACTAATGACAATGGATGTCTTCTATTGAGTAGCAACAGACCATCACTGTGAGAAGTGTCCTTGACCTTCAGGATATAGCTGGGCATATTGTTTCCTCAGCAGCATGTCTTAGACTTGACCTTTGTAACTTGACTTTGACATAAAGGTCAAGGTAAAGTGCTATTGCATACCAGTATGTGATGTCTAGCCCTCAACCATAGCAGTAAACAGACAATTTTCACTGATAAATCTGACAGGGGAGATTAAGAGAAACAGATTATATTTTCCCCTAAGCATGCTCAGTATAACAGAATCAGAAATCACTGCCTACATCATTATCAGCCTGAAGATATAACATGCCTCCAATTTGGCAGAGTTCCTATATTTCAATGCCCTTGATGTTGAAAATCAAATTCATGCTTACCCTATGTTTACTTTATTTGAATAAAGGCCACTTAACATGCTGACATGTAATATTGCCTTGGAACCTATATCCACATGTCATGCGGTCCCTCCAGTGTGTCATGTTGTCAGTCCTATCGGTTAGGCAATCACTCCCTTATGTCATGCATGAATTTCCTGGAGAGATCGTTAGTGAGGTACTCCCCATCTACCCAGGCCCACCTGCATGAGTTTCCGGGGCAGATCCTTAGTGAGGTACTCCCCTCCACCTGCACCCCTAGAGACCCACCTGCATGAGTTTCCAGGACAGATCGTTAGTGAGGTACTCCCCGTTTACCCAGGCCCACCTGCATGAGATTCTAGGAGAGATCGTTAGTGAGGTACTCCCCTCCACCTGCACCCCTAGAGATCCACCTGCATGAGTTTCTGGGACAGATCGTTAGTGAGGTACTCCCCTCTACCTGCACCCCTAGAGATCCACCTGCATGAGTTTCCGGGACAGATCGTTAGTGAGGTACTCCCCTCCACCTGCACCCCTAGAGATCCACCTGCATGAGTTTCCGGGACAGATCGTTAGTGAGGTACTCCCCTCTACCTGTACCCCTAGAGATCCACCTGCATGAGTTTCCGGGACAGATCGTTAGTGAGGTACTCCCCTCTACCTGCACCTCTAGAGACCCACCTGCATGAGTTTCCGGGACAGATCGTTAGTGAGGTACTCCCCTCTACCTGCACCCCTAGAGATCCACCTGCATGAGTTTCCAGGACAGATCGTTAGTGAGGTACTCCCCTCTACCTGCACCCCTAGAGATCCACCTGCATGAGTTTCCGGGACAGATCGTTAGTGAGGTACTCCCCTCTACCTGCACCCCTAGAGATCCACCTGCATGAGTTTCCGGGACAGATCGTTAGTGAGGTACTCCCCTCCACCTGCACCCCTAGAGATCCACCTGCATGAGTTTCCGGGACAGATCGTTAGTGAGGTACTCCCCTCTACCTGTACCCCTAGAGATCCACCTGGATGAGTTTCCGGGACAGATCGTTAGTGAGGTACTCCCCTCTACCTGTACCCCTAGAGATCCACCTGCATGAGTTTCCAGGACAGATCGTTAGTGTGGGGAGTACTCTACCTGCACCCTAAGAGACCCACCTGCATGAGTTTCCTGGACAGATCATTAGTGAGGTACTCCTCCTCCTGCTCGTAGTTCATCGCCAGGGTCTCCTTCTCCTTCTTCAGAGACTGGATCTTCTTCAGCAGAGTGTTGCTGATAAACTCCTCCTCTTGTTCAGCTTTGGCTTGCTGCAAACGGAAGTCAACAACATCAGAATCATGGATGTCTTTTCTAATCAAACCAAATGCCATTTATCTCCAGGTTTAGATATGAATGATAGTCATAACTTAGTGATAACCTGGAAAGATCATCTTATTTGTTGCCCTTACTTGTGTTTTTGTTGTTGTTAACCCTTTCGCCCCGACTGCCCGATTTATCGGGCAGCATAAACCGTGTCCCAGTACCCGGCTGCCCGAAAAATCGGGCAGCTACTGTCCAAGCCCCACACACGGCTGCCCAATAAATTGGGCGGCACGACCGTGTTTACAAAATCGCTCTTTCTACTTCCTTTCTCGTGTGTAATCTCGTTCTAAATATGAAAACGAGATCTACACGTAATGACACGTCATTTTGATGGAATTTCCGAGTCTTTTTGGCGGGAAAATCGCGAATGTCACCTGTTTTCGCGACAGGTATTTTTCTCGCTTGAATCGTAAATCTAGCGTAATGGCGGCCAACTACGATTCGGATAGCGATCAGATGACTAACAACGACTCTATCGGGAATAATAATGTGTTTGATTTGAATAATTTACGCGAAGGGGAGAGGGAATTTCACGAATATTTTCGTGAAGATTTTGACGGTTTCGACGAGGTGTCCCCCCCCCTTCCAACTTTCAAGAATGGGAGTGGCAGAGGGACCACAACGGTGGAGACATGAGGGATTTTGAAGAGGCGACCGGACTCAAGAATATATATTGACACGGTGAGTGAAGTATCGTGCTATTGATTTTTTTCCAACTGTTTTACAATGATTCTGTGTTTGAACAGATTATCAGTGCGACGAATGAGAATGCAGCCTACATGTGAACGAGCGATCACAACAACAACAAAGGTGAGTGGCATGACGTATCTCTTTTCTTTTTTTTTAAATTTAATTTTCTGATCGCAATCCGAATTGTAGTTTGCCGGTTTGTCGTATGTCCTTATATTTCGCTCAATTTGAATAAAATTTATTTCCATATTCATGTTTGTTTTCTTGTTTTTTACATCTTAATTTAAATTTTAGTAATTGTAATAATTATTTATTTATTAATTGATGTAATAAAGTACTGATTTAATTTATTATGCAATTGTAAATAGCAGTGTATTGTAAATTGTTATCACAACTTGTATATTTGCAGAACTTGAATTTACAATCTTTCCATCCTTTTACAATCTTTCCCTCCTTTCAGATCAATCTGTGATGTCATTCTTATAGTAGCTGTGGTTCAATGTTCAGGTAATGTGATAAATTACTATTTAAAAACTTAAATACTTAATTTTTGTTTCAAATCCTGAAAAAGAACAAAATAAATCAAATATTTGTGTTTTTACCTGTGTTAACTAGTTTACCTGCGTTAACAAGTTTACCTGAGTTAACGAGTTTACCTAAGAGGCTGTAAGTGTATCATAAGTAATATGTGACATCAGTATAGAAAACAAAGTCAGTACCAAGAGTTGTAAACTTGTTTATTTGTTTACAGATGTGCATGAAGAGAATTTACCTGTAATACCTGGGATTACCTGTGCCGTCCAAGATGACAAGACCACTGTGTTATGTTTACCTTGTATCTGTGATTTATTTTTGTGATTTTTAATACAATTTGAGCCAAAATTCATTGTCTGTTTTCATTTTTTCAGTGTTTTCAAGTTTTATTTCACTTGTAAACACCTGTAATTAGAAAATAACAAAGGTTAGAGACAATAACAACAAAGAATATTACAGTATACTTAATCCTCTTTACAATGGTATATGATAAATGTATATTAAAAGCAAGTTTCTGGTAGAAAAAGTGCATAAAAAATGATCGTGTGATTTTCCAATATAACTGCCAGGGAGGCCAGTGTACAGGCCTTGTCAGTGTCAGGGACTGCAGGGTCTCAAGGGACATAACTCTGGGGCAGCCAGTGATGAAAGAGTTAATGTTGTATAAAGCTGTACTTAGAAATATTCCAGCAACATGATGGTGGCCTATGTATAAACAAGTCAGGACCAGACATTCCAGTGATGATATTACGAGCAACAATCCACGCTGTCAGGGTTGGATGACAAGGAATCAACCAAATATCAATAAACAGTCGGTGCAATCTAATGAATGGGTTACGCCAACTGTGATACATATTTCCATAGTCAAAAGTAACGGAAGCCAAAGACATCTACAATATTGGTGAAGACAACTTGCAGAAGACCATAGTCAGGGCAAAACAAGGATCTGAACCCACAACCAGCAGATCCTGATAAGGCAAAGGGGAACAACTCTTCACAGCCAATTGCATTGTCTACAACCACTGGCCCACTCCCCTGAATCCTTTGATAATAAAAGAATATTTGGTTGACAAATATACTGGTACATCAAATAATGAACAGAGAGAACCTGTTTCTTGAACACCTGCATCACAGACTGGATAATAATATAACACTATATAACCTGTGGAAAATCAACCCAACATCATAGGATTGTCACCCCGCTATCAATAGACAGTACTTATTGACTGAGAGAACAAGATACAGTAAACATGGTGCACTACGGTTATAACAAACTCAAAGGGACCACTAATTTTAGTTTGTTATAACCATAGTTCATTATAAGCACATATACAGCAAATGGCCGGGACGAAATAAAACAGTTTGTTATATCTCTCTGTTCGTTATAAAAATAGTTTACTGTTCTTGCATGCCATACTCTTTAACCGAGTGAGTGAGTGAGTGAGTGAGTGAGTGAGTGAGTGAGTGAGTGAGTGAGTGAGTGAGTGAGTGAGTGAGTGGGTTTGATTTTATGCTCCTTTTAGCATAATTCCAGCAATATCATGGTGGGGGACACCAGAAATGGGCCTCACACATTGTACCCATGTTGGGAATCGAACCCGCGTCTTCGGCGTGACTACGAATACTTTAACCACTTGGCTACCCGACCACCCCCTTTAACCAAGTCAACTTTGAAACTTATTTGTCAGTAACTAGTTAAACCAATAAGAGAGAGAATAATGGATGTCAACTTCTTTGTTTTGTTGTGGGGTATATACTTTCTCAATCACCTGTTGAGTTCAACAGGAGTAAGCATATATTCCGAAACATGTTTCTCACGATAAAGAAATTCTCTCTCTCATATGTATCACTCCTGAATGTAATTCAAACCAGTTAAACCCAACACTAAACTGAAACGCAATGATGTTACAACAGCTTATTGTTGTCAGTGGCGAAGATAAAACCTTGGTGTATCCTAAATCATTTCAAACAGTTCTGTCAAGCAGATCCTTGATGCAGTCATTGATTGCACCACGACAGAAAAACATGCAGCCCCAGCTGCACTGCACTGTTCGTCAACAGTTCAAATTCAATCCAAGGTCACCTCGTCCCATGCACGCTGTACTATATGCAACCCAAACTAACACAGAGCTGTCCAACAGGATACCATGGAAGATGGGTCCCTGTGATAGCAGAGATGACCTTGGTGCTAGGAATAAGCAGCAGCATCTACTGCATTTACAAACATGATGAACAAAGGCTCGCATTCCAACAACCGGTGTCTCCTTGCGTCACTTCACATATATTTGATACACATTAAGTGTCATCTCACTATATTTTGTCATACAGATTTAGCATGTCTACTGTCATTTCACCATATTTGTGAGAAACTTTCAGTGCCATGTTACGACACACCTCAAGTGCCATGTAACCATAATCTTATCTAATCATGCTGATACACATCTTAGTAAGATATACTGTTAATGTAGGTTCCATCAATAATCTTATATGTGATATACTTCAACACACATCTGATACATTCGTGTGTCATTTTGTCCTGGTGTCCTTTTACAATGTTTACCATATATGTAATACATTATGTCATTTTGTCCTATATGTAATACATTCTAATGTCCTTTTACCATGTTTACCATATATGTAATACATTGTCAATTTGTCCAATATGTAATACATCCTTGTGTCTTTTTACCATGTTTATCATATATGTAATACATTGTGTCATTTCCTCATATGAATTATACATTATTATGTCATTTCCTCATATAAATAATACATTCTTGTGTCATTTCATCATATAAATAATACATTCTTGTGTCATTTCATCATATAAGTGATACTCTGTATAACATTACTCTGTGGGACTGTATAACATTACTCTGTGGGACTGTGTATAACATTACTCTGTATAACATTACTCTGTGGGACTGTGTATAACATTACTCTGTGGGACTGTGTATAACATTACTCTGTGGGACTGTATAACATTATTCTGTGGGACTGTGTATAACATTACTCTGTGGGACTGTATAACATTACTCTGTGGGACTGTGTATAACATTACTCTGTGGGACTGTGTATAACATTACTCTGTGGGACTCTGTATAACATTACTCTGTGGGACTGTGTATAACATTACTCTGTGGGACTGTATAACATTACTCTGTGGGACTGTGTATAACATTACTCTGTGGGACTGTGTATAACATTACTCTGTGGGACTATATAACATTACTCTGTGGGACAGTATAACATTACTCTGTGGGACTGTGTATAACATTACTCTGTGGGACTGTGTATAACATTACTCTGTGGGACAGTACAACATTACTCTGTGGGACTGTGTATAGCATTACTCTGTGGGACTGTGTATAACATTACTCTGTGGGACTGTGTATAACATTATTCTGTGGGACTGTGTATAACATTACTCTCTATAACATTACTCTGTGGGACAGTATAACATTACTCTGTGGGACTGTGTATAACATTACTCTGTGGGACTATATAACATTACTCTGTGGGACTGTATATAACATTACTCTGTGGGACTGTGTATAACATTATTCTGTGGGACTGTGTATAACATTACTCTGTGGGACTGTGTATAACATTACTCTGTGGGACTGTATAACATTACTCTGTGGGACTGTATAACATTACTCTGTGGGACTCTGTATAACATTACTCTGTGGGACTGTGTATAACATTACTCTGTGGGACT